TATATATATATACATATATTAGATTTTTGCAAATTCATTTTTTTAACAATAATAATAATAACATCCACTTAAGTAATTACAGTCTTTGCTTAATACTTTGATGATCTAACTTTGGCAGCAGTTAAACAGTTAAAGCCTCTGGTCTTGGAGTCTTTTTGGAGCTTGATCCCTCTCAGCTCCAACACAGGAGAGTAAAATGTTTGGATTCCCTCTTTAGGATGCAATCACGTTTGGAAAAGGCCTGGTCATCGGTTTGATTCAGGTGTGGAGAAAGCTTGCAGATCTCGATGAGGCGCTTTGATTTAAGCTGGAGAAACAGCTCAGAGATGACCAGTGGAAGCAACTCAGTTATGATCTTCATGGCGTGAATACTTACAGAAATGTGATTTATCAGTTTTATATTCTTAATACATTTGCAGAAATCTCAAAAACTTTTTTTTCTAACTTGTCACAGTCAGACATTTGTGTGCAGAATTTTAAAGAAAGAGATAAATTTAATTACAAATTGGAATAACGTTGTAACATTAAATCTGGAAAAAGTGAAGAACTGTGAATTCTTTCCTGATGATCTATAGCTGACAGAAATTTGATCAGAAAAACATCTGTTGAATACTGCACAGCAAAAACAAACAGTTTAGATGCAAGCAACATGTTCCCTAGTCATGTCTAGTGCTGCATTTTTCACATAATTTCTAATTCTTTGTATATGTACATAGTATATTTTCAGAAAATTTACTGTTTTTTTGTATTATTATTTTGTGCTTCAGCTTCCTCTGTGAGAGGAATCCTGTGCTGTGATGAGCCATCCAAAAGGCCAAGACCAGGTGAGAAATGTTGAGTTATAACCAGGGTTATGGTAATTCACAATGATGCAGTGAAAAACCCAGAACAAACCCTGTGACTGTGATTTCCCCTGCCGTTGAAATGAAACTATTAATAATGATGGGAATACTATAAATGTGTTGCCAACAGCAACACAAATGCAGTTGGGTCGTAATCAGTTCACATGTACTACTGCATGTACAATGTGCCACTCTGAGATGGACCTAAAGTGGCATTATTAGTAAATTCCTATCATACTCTGAGGAGGGATGAGGATCCTGTTCTAAGTGAGTACACTGATCTAAACCATCCCATAATATCTCTGACTGGATGTTCAGGGTGGTTATGCTGCTGGAAGATGAACCTCAGGTCATCTGGAGCCTCTAACAGGTTTCTTCCTCCTGGATTGTCCTGATTTAGCTCCATCCAACCTCACATGTGTGTCTGTTGTCTATTTTGGTGTGATGGGTCCACCAGCTTCCACATGTTACTGTTCCCTATCTTGCTCTCTTTAAACAATGACTTCAACTATTCCATAAGAACCAGATTCCTTGGTCTTTATGAAGATGTTCATTATTTGTGTTTCCATTACAAATGTGCACAAATCTTTGTCTAAATTATGCTAATGTTGAAAAAACACACTTTTGCTGTGTTTCTATTTCATGAGAGATTAAATTAAAATAACACATAAATAAGTTTGTTTATACAATAAGTTATTAAATGGCAGTGACAGATGTTGCGCTCATCATCTAACAGCCAATCAGACGAGACACCTACCTGGGAGCAGCTACTTATGTGGCGTTTTGTCAAAATTGTAGTTGGTGATTTTACAGAAGAGTTATGGATTCAACATGTTGGAATGACGCACAATGTGAACTGTGATGATGAAAACAAAAACAAACTGTCATCCTACTACTACTTCCTGTTGTCTTCTTCATCGTTTCTGCCAGTAGTAACATCCGATTGTTGAACAACTGTCTTGTGTGATGCATATCAAGTGTTTCCATTGAAGTTTTGTATGGTCCATCTATCCTAACAAACTACTTCATCCTGGCACAAAACCTTTCTCTTCAGGTTTTATTGACTCCAGTGGCCTTTATTTGAGAGTGTTCAGACAGGATAAAGAGTATGGCAGAAAGGGAAGACATGTGGCAAAGGTCATGAAGTCAGGACTTGAACCTGTGACAGCCGCATAGAGAACTAAGGCCTCCATTCATGGGTTTTCTTTACCCCTGCACCATTGCAGCGTCTCCAGCACAAAACCTTTTTATCAAAAAATGTTTCTTTGATCAAACGTTTATGTGATGCAATGAGGTGGGGGTTCTTTTGGCCATATCAAAATGAGAGTATTTTGCAAAGCTGCAATAGAAACACTTACTTTTGTATCACACCAGTCACATGATCAATAACTGGATGTTACTACTGGCATAAAAAATGAAGATGACAGGAAGTGATAGGACAAAGATGGTGTGTTAGGCTTTTTAAAGACTTAGCATGTGAACAGTTTTATTGATGTGTGATTTTAACTGTGTTTCTTATTTAATTGAAACGTTGCAAAAGGTAGTTTATCTTTCTTGCCCACAAATTTTTCATTCTTCATTGTGTCTTCACCTTATAAACTCTTGTGTTCCTCCTCAGGTTCCTCCTGCGTGGCTCTCATCATGGCCGTCTCACCCTCACTGTGCTGGGTGACGGCTGATAGTTTGCTGTCAGACTCACTTGTTCAAGTTGTGGGGAACATTCAACGCTGTCGGTGAGTTTGTAGCTCTGGAAAAAACCATCGACTGTTGAGTGTACCCTAACTCCTGAGTTCCCGTCGGTTTGTGTGCTGCATCGCAGCATCATCTGCAACTCAAGAGCAGGCAGAGGCTTCAACCTTTGCTTCCGAAACACAGGTCCAAGGTCTAAAATTAGCAGTGGAATTCCATGCATGGTATTTGTTGACATGCCTAGTTAAAATATTTCTTCATGCTCCTAGCTTCTAGCTCTTTTTTGCATGTGTTTTTGTGTGCTTACTTCTATATTAGTCATTATTGTCCTCAAGTCAGATAAGAGATGATTTGAGGTCATTTCTTTCTGTTTTTATGGTCTATGCTGTTTTTTTTATGTTTGTAAAGCCTCCACATCGACCGTTAAGGAAAACCTGGCTGGGGGTTTAATGTTCTCCACAGTCTCCTGCACTTCGAGCATTCAATGCACATAGCTGTGATTCTGCTTGATGTGTTACCTTTTATTTAAAATTCTGTTTATTTGAATAATTTAGTATTTTTTATTTTTATTTTATTTTCCTAATCAATTACTACAATTACTTCAATTCAATATATTACTGATAAATTTGGTATAATTCAGTTCAGTTTTATCTTTTCATTTGTCACTTCTTTTCATCGTTCTTTCCAAGACAGAAAGATTCAATTCATATCTGATTGTAGATAACAGAACTGAGTCCAAATCCATTACACACACACACACACACACACACACACACACACACACACACACACACACGCATCATGTGTAAACTCTTACAACTTCAACCTCAACATCTTTATGTGAAATTATTTTATTGCTTCACTTGTCAAACACTTTCTGCTATTACTTAAATGGAAGTCAAAGTATGTTTTTCTTTGTTTCTTTGGTAACAGTTTTTTGGAGGTTGATGTCTTTTGCTGGTATTTGTTATTACAAAGGATAACCGGCCATGTTGATCCTGTAGGCTGTAAGTGGTGTCCTGATTTACGCCTGAAGGTAGGTTATATTTTCACTTTGCCTAACAATGCACTAAGCCTTCTGCTACTTTACAAACCTTTCACACTGCAGGATTCCAGTTCACATTCATCGCTGTCGGTGGGTTAATGATGCCGTCAACTCGCTGGTGGATGAATGTCAACTGTGTCCATGCAAGGCGCATATCCCTAATCAAGAGTTTACATGTGCAACATCAAATGATTGTATTTCTAGGCCACTGACTAAATAAAGACTTTGGACTGTTGACTAAGTCGTCATCTTTTTTCTAGAGGGCTTAAGCTGATGGCTTTCTGTTGTTGGACAAATTGAAAATGTCATCAGTGAAGGCATGGAGAAGAAAAAAGATTTACTTGTCGCCAAACGTAAGGAAGTTTTTGATTGGTTGACTGTCTGCTGCCAGTAAATCTTTTACCATTGGAAAACCTGTTTATGTGCCCTCAGTCAGAGCTATGTTTGTCAGGAAAATCCATTTGTGAGTGGAGCAGCAGAGTTAAGTATGTGGGTTGTTTCCAATAAAAACTTCCTAAATACTCTGCCAATGCCAACATGCTTTTCACAGCCTCTCTCTCTCTCACAAGAAAACTAGGCTTTTCTTTACTGGAAGCAATTTGAGTTCAGAGCGATATCGGGATGGAATTCTACAACCAGTGGCAATTCCGTATCTCCTCTGTTTGGGACAAAACTCGACCCATACTCACACCCAGACAGCTAGGTTTATCAGAAACTAGCTCCAAAACTTTCTGGCATTACGGCTACAGTTGTAGGATCAGTTTGGGTGCTCTGGTCATCTCAGAGAAACCAACATCCTGGCTGGGGAATGGATGCCATCCATCCCACAGCAGTTTTATGGACCTCTACTTAGACCTCATTACAATACTCAGTGGTTGGCTTTATATCTTTCTTTTTATTATTCAGTTTGTGATCTCAGTCATTTCAAAGAACAGATCAAACTAGTCTTACATCAAGAAGGAAGAGCCTCCCTTTATTTTTTTGGGTGCATATCTTTCAATCATCTTAAATCTGGGTTTCCAAAGAAAATCCCTTACTGTATTTATTGTAAAGGTGGTGGGGGAGTAAGAACAATGTCACAGGAACTAGGTTTAATCACCTCGTTTCCTCAACTCCAACTGAGAACAACAGAGCAACAATAAGTGCCAAAAATCCATATTTCTTTACAGACTTTTCAAATTGAAACAACTTGTTGGTGGGTGTGAGTGGAGCCTCCTTGAGGTGCCCCAGAACCCCAAAAGACATAGAAGGGTCCATAGCTAGTCCAGAACCCTATGCTTGAGCACATGGCCAGAACAACTGAACCTGATCACTGTCGATTCCACCATGTAGAATAAACCCAGAATGCTTCACACCAAAGGCACGGCTGAGGGTAACGAAGAGGGGCTGAAGAAGGATGGAGCTCTGACAGCTGTGGAGGGAGGACAGCAGTACATTTACACCGAGTAGGGAGGTCTTCCCCAGCGAGGAGTTTGAGCCGTTACGACCTGAAGATCTGTCTGTCAATACAGACAATATGGCCAAACAAATCTAAGATAAAGTGCTTAGGGCTGGATTCAAGGAAATTAGATGATAGTTTATGTAATACCTTGTTTTTGTGCTTATTTTTTTAATGTTGTACAGCTACGAATAAAGTTGTCAAACCAGCAAAGAAAAAAACCTGCTTACAGCTGATGTGTCATTTTTTTTCATTGGCTGTTGGCAACACAAATGCAGTTGGGTCGTAATCAGTTCACATATACTGCAGTACCTCATCACATCCAGATTTAGTTATGAAAATTTGACTGTAACTGATATCGGATCAGTTCCCTTCTCACACTTGCATACTCTGGTCTTCACCTCCCTTCACACTAAAAGACTTTTGTGCTGACTCAATCTGACAATCGCCTCCACCTAAATCGTTCAAAAATAATCATATGGTGTCTCCAGCTGAAGTCTGAACTGACCAAAGCATATGATTATGGGTTACGTTCCGGTTCAGCAAACCTGCTGTTTACAATTGTGAGAATCTCACAGAAAAGTCTTTTTTGCAGGCATCATTCCCAAATAACCGGTTAGCACGTAGATACAGCCTAACAATTGTTATGAAGACTTTATTGATGACAGCATAGTGACGCCTATTTAGGGTTCATGCTTGATTTTCTATAGTGGGAACCCTGAACCCTGTCTCCATCATCCCAGAGTGCACTGGAGGCTTTCTCAGGCATTTGCCTTATGTTCAAGGAGGGTAACTCAACAAGACTGGTCTCATTGTGAGTCTTCCAGAACAGACAGAGAGATACACATTACACTGTAATGGCTCTGCTCTGGGGTCAGGTTTAGGTTCGAGTTACCTCTCGGTAGAGACAGATGGCCTGCACGTCTTCACCTTTGCCCTTCCTCCATGGAAGAGCCTCACTGGCATGTTGCTTTTCTGCAGGACCAATATCCTCACCCAGACAGCAAAGAGGCACAAAATGAGACATTTGAAGGTGAGATGGAGACATAACACTAAACTCTCAGTGGATGTTACATTATGATCATGTGCAGAAGCTGAGAGGGCTAATAACAAACCCAGAAGTAGTAGAATATAATATAATATAATATAATATAATATAATATAATAGAATAGAATAGAATAGAATAGAATAGAATAGAAATGTCCTTTACAGTCCTCCAGTGCCACTCAGTGGATATTCAACTTTACCTGCAGCAGAGTCACAAATCAGTGGAAGGTAATATATAACAAAAAATAATAAACTGTACAATAAAGACAAATTTAAGACAAACTTCTGACACAATAACAACAAAAATAATACACAATGAAATGATTATATTATTAATATATTATATTTTAAAAAAGGCATTCTCAGACTCCAATGTCCAACTAAGAAAATTTTGAAAATGTGCAAATTAAGTGTGTATTATTTCTGCATAAAAAGCAACAAGAGATTGTTTATAAGAATACGGGAAAACTGTTTAAAAACAGCAGGAATGTGAACTGACTCCACCGTCTGTCCGACTACGGCAGAGTCATCAGAGAGCTTCTGAAGGTGGCAGCGTGTGGAGCTGATGGAGAAGTCTGCAGTCTTAGAGGGTGAACAGAAGTGGTGCCAACACTTCTGTTGGCACCACTCCTTGACAGGAGGATGTCATCCTCCTTGATGCCAGGTTGGTCGGTGAACTACACCAGGAGATGGATGAGAACCAAGCTGTCCAGATCTTCATCACTTGTGAGGTCAGTGCTGGCAGCATGTAGCTGCTGAGGTCCTGTGGATGTTTGACCTTTGGCACCAGAACCACACAGGATGTCTTACACAGCTGTGGTACGTTCACCAGCATCAGGCTCAGGTTGAACATGTATCCCATGATGCTTCACAGCCAATCTGAGCAGCATCTCAAGATCCTGGAGCTTATGCCGTCCTGACCTGCTGCCTTTCAGGGCTTGAGCCTCACCTGGAGTTGAAAATGATAAAATGGTGGTGGGGGAGGGAGGCTGTGGGGTGAACGCTCTGAAGCACAAAAGGGTGGTGGTGGGCTTGGGGCTTAAAGCTCAGGGGTGAAGTTTGGGATATGACTTCATAGATAGAAATAAATGACAGAATGGGATTAATGTTTCTCAGTCTTTCTGTTACCGAATTACATCTCACTTCAAAGTAGATGAAAGTCCTTTTTTATTGGACTTTCATTTACAGTGGCTCACCAGACCATCCAACACATTTTACTCTTCCCGTCAGACATTAATTATACCTTCAGCGATGAACGTGTGTGTCAATGCTGAAGCAAAAATCAAACAAACAAACAAACAAACAAACAAAAAAACAAAAAAAACACTATGTGAAGATGCTGGCTGAAGCTGGTCAGAAAGTCGGTAGATGTGACAGTTTTTCCCTTTTTATGCCATTCAGTCATCTAAAAATAAACCCTTGTTGTTTTTCTGTTTATGCATTTAGCTCCATTGTGGGTTTTTAGTCTTTTCACTATTCATAATTTGGCCATAAAGTCAGTCCTTTAACAAGCTTTTGTGAGATTAAATGTAAAATTTGACCAAAGTATAAATAGTCTCAAAGTAGAAAACTGGAATAAAGAGACTATTGACTCAGCTCATAACATCCCCGAAAAAATTTTCTGAATATTACAGCAGGAACAGAGAAAAAGCACAGAACACAAAGAGTGCATAGACCTCTGGTGTTTCGTTGAAGTTATTACACCTGATGGCTTCAAACGGATACGTTTAGACGTTTTGCAGCTGAGGTTCTGTTAATGAGTGATATATAATTTATGTTGCATGCAGGAGCTACTTCTGTTATAGGGGTGTACAGGAACAGCAAATGTCTGTAGAGAATGTGGAGGTGAAGAACATGTCTTCATACCACGGCTTCATTTCTGTTCTTATCTCCAGATGTTACAGAGAAGAGGGTGAAGAGGAACAGAAGGCAGACTTGGTGCTTTTTGTTCCTATGTATTATATTAAAAAGGAATTTATTGCAGCTGCTTAATACTGCAGATTAAGATGTTTACAATTGGGGGGAAGGTTGGTATTAAGGCTCTATGCTAAACACAGAAGAATCCATCGGTTTAAGTGTGTTATCTGTTGTCAACAAGTGTTCTTAAATCAAAACCAAACATTTAGACTATATAACAGAATATTAAGACCAGCCACTCTAATTAATATCCATTTCGTTTTATGCCAGATTGATTAGAAACAGCTTCACTCAGGCCATATTAAGGTGTATTTTTAGCTAATTTACCTAACTCTGTTATAATGTTTCCAGTAGAAGCTAAAGCATGGTTGTGAGCCATGTCAGAGTAAAAGACAGACATAGATGGACTATTTTATGTTCAGACTAATTGTTAGAATTGACTTTGATCTGGTTTTTAAATTTGGAACTACGTGTTCTCTGCTGTTTATGCTACAAGTTTGTTGTTCCAAGTTAACTCATTAAACTGAGCAATAGCTGTGCACATTGTGATCCTTGCTGTCATTATTAGCACACAACGGTTTTATTAACAACACAACAGCATTCCTCAGCAGTTTAAGACTAGCTTAGACATTGTTGAGTATTTCACTTTCCTTAAAGCTGCAGTCGGTCCTTTTATAAAAATATAGACATATTTGTTAAAACTGTCACTGTCCTGACAATATAATCTGAGACAGATAATCTGGGAAAACAATCAAGTGACTGACCCACCACCAAACCGGTCATGCTGGTGTCATGATGTAGTGGAGGTCTGATGTAGGACCCAAATGCAGAAGT